GATGAGAAGGGTTATCGCGTTTTGCCAGCGACCGTAAAGAACTCCAATCCAGCCGACCATGTATTATTCGGCCCATTTGTGAGATGCTCACGCACAGAACATACACTCCCGCACTCCGATCATTCGCAGTGCTGAAAGGTCAACACGCGTGTGCTTCGGAAAGGCACCGCACGCCGTTGCTCTCGGTCCTCTACAAAATGCCGAGACAGCTGGCTTCCTCTTTGTAGCCCAGCACACCCTTTACAATTCGTTTCAGCATGTTATGACAAACAATTGCTAAACTCTTGCAATCACCACAAGCCATGCCATAGCAACGGTACCAGGTGATTTTCTTTTTGACATTGCTAACATAACCCCCAACCACATTTGCATAGATGTGCATTCAATCACTGACCAATGTGGAGATGCCAAACACAATATATAAATCACACTCAGACCAGGGAATGGTATTTATATAACTTGGTTTTACATCCAGATCATACCCATTTCTGCCCATTTCTGCCGGATTGCGACCAGATGCAGGTCAGACGGGCCACTTCGCGCCGTGTGCCACGGTGCCAAGACACGGTGCCATCGTCGTACATGACCGAGACTGAGATGCGCACGCACGCCGCACGCCTTGGGCCACAGTGGATCCAGGTGAAGTCCTGCCGTCCAGTCTGATCTATCCTTCTCAGTTGTGATTGTGCTAAGATTCACCGGTTTTACGTGGACTTTTCCAAGATCAATCCTTCGCAGTCGATTTTAAGGGGGGAAGGCCGCCTCTTGAGATGGAGTTCACGGGATTCATGACGAGGGAACGATAAAGAAGGGAGCTCCCAACGGGACCCAACCGGGCTGTCGACGTCGCCCAGGTCAGGGAACCTGACGGATTCCGAGTTCGGATTCCATTCAGTCGGTCGGTTCTTCCAGGGTTCCCGGCGCTGGCTTTCCAAAGACCATACCCGGCATGCCATTGCACAAGACACGGTCCCCTGGCAGCGATGGGGCAAAACTGAGTGCCTCCAAGCAGAAGTACTTACAGTACTAGAAATTCTGTAACACGGGAGTGGTCAACCCCGGCAAATAGTGCAAGAGTTAGTGATTATCCATCTCAAATGTTGGCGCTTGATGTCTCTTGAAAGGCCTCCAACTCCAACGAACACAGGGATCTGCTCAAGAAAACCAATCCGACAGCTGGGTTTTCCTGCTGCGAGTTCGCAGATCACCCGTGTGGCACCGTCTGTGTCAACATCTGCCAAATGCGTCGCACTGGATATGCCAACCTTTCTGGATATCTTCTTGATTCTCATGCGTTCCAAAATGACAGATGACGCATACTTTAGGTGGATGCTTGCCGCACAGTTCATACCCCGACTGGACCTAGGTCTATATCCTTACATTCAACTTTGAGTACCATCACCCTGCAGCAATAAAAACACACCCACTTATACCCACTTATGTCGTACGTACTGCAATCCTGTAACATAACACCTGCTTTCATCCCCGGTCGGATGTCACTCTGATGGCTCATCCAACCTGATGATGGGCCCAACCGACACAACTTCGAGAAGCACGGATTACCCCGCTAGAACCCAGGAAAAAAGAACAAGGCTTTGCTTTCACCTTCAAGAACTGCACATGGTTTTCCCGCCACTTGTCGCTAGACTTGTCGTTCGGAGTCCCAAGGATTCCCGATGATCCCCCCCGGTGTCATGAGGTCTCCCTGGCCCCGGCGTAGGACGTGGGTCTTACGAATGAACGCACGTAGTCCAATGCGTGCAAGTTACCAGGCTGTTGGAATTTGAAGGGCATGTATTGGATATAAATATATATATAGGCTGAGTGGCTGTATTACAAGAACACATGCACAAAACATCACAAAACAAGCCGTGCTAAGCTTGCGGGGGACCCAAAAGCTAACCGCTAACCTCTCTGCAAACCAGTGGATTTATAATATAGCCACGGCACATCTTTACAGAACCTTCTGACCACCAGGCGTCTTTTGGAAAAGGCACCATGCTTCTCACCCTGCCTCTATAAAAGCCGCCTGCAAGCTCGTTCATCTCAACCTGACAACCAAGCAAAGTTTAATCATTTCGGAATTGTAGTGTTTTCAAAGGTCCGTGAAAAAAACTATGCCGCATTAACTATGCCAGAAGCCGGACACGACAACCCTCTGCAGCTCCACAATGCTCCACCAAGTAAGTACCCAGTGAATATACAAAAAAATTGCTATAATCTATCTGGCAACATTGACTCGCAAAGAAACTTTCTCTTGGTTGCCAGGGGCTAGGGGCAGGTACCTCTCTACTGCTACCAGCCACAATACAGCCTTGGAAACTGGCAACTGCACCTTCTCCATCCTTTTCCCAAAACCAAGCAACGCCTCAACGAGTGCATGACGCAGCGCGGCAGCGCAACACCACTAGACCTCTGGAACCGAGTACGTGGTGCTATGTGCTAAGTTGAGTAGTAAGTAACTGAAGTCACGCACAAACCTCGGGAGCTTCAACCGGGCGGTGTCCCCGTCGCCTCGCCAGACGGTGCCGACACCCGGGCGGTGACCCATCGCTGGAGCCGAGAGTGAGAGACACGGAGGGGCGCGACGAAAGACACCGTTCGGAGGGCGCTGGGTTTCCAGAAAGACGGATATTCCTCTCAAACAGGTGGCAACTAAGTGGTGCTTGAAAAACTTCCATGTTAGTACTGAGAGTCATCAAGAGCTGTTGAAGTGGCTTTTGATGAAGGATCGAGAGGAAAAGTAATACAATACCATACAGCACTTCTCATCCTTCTTCACACCAGAGGCAAGAAACATCTGCCTTCGCATCTTTCATGCCTTCAGCCATAGATGTCTGCAAACCTCCACGACCAATGGTAGGGTGGCATCCGCCCAAACAATCGCTCTGAGGTCTGTGCACAGCTGCGAGTTGTTGCCAAAGCTATCCACAGTTCACGTGAGCCAAGGACTTGACGCCCTGCCTGCGTAGGAAGACCTGCGGGGGGCGGGGAATCCATGACTCTGGCCGTGCTGCTACTAACATCTATATAAGGAGTGTATTTAAAGTGAGTCGGCGTCATACGGTACCATACATACATGATGTTCCTGGCAGCTTCCAAAGCCGAATCAAAGATGACTGATGGGCCACCCTATGGACAGTCTTCTTCTATTCAAAGGCGGTCTTCCATGGCCTGGGGGCTTGGGTGGGGGAAGCACATTCCTCGAGGGGTGTGGTAAGCCTGCAGGGTGAGGTGACTGCTAATTGGCTAATTGGCCAGCAACAGTGAGGCTGGTACAAAAGAAAACCTGAAGCACCTGTGGTCTGTGGCAGCTAGCAAGTTCTCACAACCATCCCGTCCCAAGTTTATAGAAGTGGTTTCTGTAAGGAATTTCTGAACAACAAAAGAATCAAATCAACTCGAGGGCTGCCATGTTCTGGAAACGATAATCTACAAACAAATCAGAACAACCTGACCTAGGCTCTCTGCGACATCCCTGGCATCCGGGCAGCTTAGGTCTTTTGTCGTTGCAACGCCGCAAGGAAACTTTCTGGGACACACCCACGATGGCATCTGTCAGAAAGGTGTGAGTGGCTTTCAATCTTTGCCCGAGACATCTGGGCGGCACCTGCATCAACGTGCAGAAAGGCCCCTCCCTGGTGTGGATGTCCAGGTATAAGCAATGATCATTCAACACCCCAAATGGCTGGCTATTCAGATACTTAATAATCATATTCCAGTTGGTTACTTCAGGACTTCAGGATTATTCTATCCATTGAGAATGGTTGCATAAACAATTACAGTACTGTGACAATCAATAACAAAACAACACGCCACGGCGATTGCGGGGGGGAAGCTGGCTTCGCGAGTGAAGCTTGGAACCCACGTGGAGCGGAGGAACTCAAAGGTGCAAACGTAGCTTCCCCCTCCATCCAACAGACCTATTGAAAGGTCTTCTCTCCGTACAAACAGACCTTTGGCACAACAGACCTTAGAATGAATCTTAATAGTTTTGGACACACATGGACTCGGACACACCGATTTAGGCCGTGCAATTTCTCGTGGTTCAAGCTATGCCTTGTTACAGCTGAGCCGGCAAGTGGCCGTAGGCGACAAGAGTAGCAAATTGGTTTGGCTTTGGGTCAATCGCTGCGTACAAAGGGGAGGCCGTCAAATCAAACTGGATTTTAGAAGAGCGTTGTTGCATGTTGTTGCAGCATTGTTGCATACTTTGAAACCCTTCAAGAAATCTTGCGGTGAAGACATGAACCTTCAAAGGAACTCCAAACATCTTGAAACCAGTTTGAGTGCGGTTTGTTCACGTGCTCTACGGTTTCCAAAGCTACTGTATGGTTGAGTAAAAGCTCACTCATCTCATCACCAAAAACACGTCAAATGAGCAAGAAACCTCTCGTGAAAAGTTCATAGTTGTCTCTGTGAAACCGCAAAACATTCACAAAAACAATAGTGAATAGGGTTATGTCGGGCAAGCCAGCCATAGATACAAGGAGCCAAAATAGTTTTATAAAGCAAAAACAAAGCAAAAAAAAAGCAAAAGGCAAAGCAAACAAAAAAGCAAAAAAATGTAGCTGTGCGTATTTGTCGCTTTTTTTCACTTTTTTTTCGCTTTATTTTCGCATTTTTTTCGCTTTATTTTCGCTTTTTTTTCGCTTTTTTCCTAGGAGGGTACAGCAAAAACATATTTGTCGCTTTTTTTTCACTTTTTTTTCGCTTTTTTTTCGCTTTTTGTTCGCTTTATTTTCGCTTTTTTTTTCGCTTTTTTTTTCGCTTTTTGTTTTGCTTTGTTTTTGCTTTTTGCTTTGTTTTTGCTTTGTTTTTGCATTTTCATTTGCTTTTATTTTGCTTTTTTTTCACTTTTTTTTCACAAAAAAAATATTTGATGGTTGGCCATGTATGGCTGCCATCGCCCAACATAAGAATAGGGTTTGACCACCCAACTGTAACTGTCTGGTCTGAAACGCAACATGTGGATCATCCAGCCTTGTGACGACCGAAGGCTAGGTGTCCTCGGCTTGATTCAAGGCACTGCTGCTGACATTGCTCCTGTGCAAAAAGCAGGAAACATGCTGGTCGTTGCTCCCTTCCATTCATCACCTGGAAGCCCATTGAAGAAACTCAAAGGATGACATCGAACTCCAAAACATCGACAGGGCTGGATGCTCAAAGCCAAAACGTCGACACTTGATGGGGGCTCGTTCCATGATCTGGTGGACTTAGTCCGAAGAGTCTCCGCCGGGGGGTTCTTCCCCGATTTCCCCCGCGCCATGACCTAAAACCACAGAATTGGATGCCGCCGGTGCCTTGGAATTCATGGGATGCCTTGTCCGTGTTCATGATCTGTGATACAGTTGTGCTCAAGCGTTCATCACAAACATCCGCCCTATACCTGGGTAGAAAAGTCAAACCATGAAATTGGGCGCATCACTCAGTGGATCGAGCAACAAGAAGGATTCGTCTGGTGTTCGGTGTATCGTGTAGGGTTTGAGTCTTGCCAAGGACTCATCATTGAACATGTGAGTCGTCTAAATTGTTCAAGGAAAGGATTGCTTGGTCTCAAAAGCCCCCCAAGTTTGGCTCGTCCTCTAAGGCTTGTTTTGCTGATTCGCTCCACTAAAATGTTGGTCAAACAACCACTGGGTCTCAATGCCTTTGAGCCGAGAACTAAAACAACCTTTTCTCGGTGGCCAGTGGGGTCCCACACAGAGTTTGCCGGAGCGTACACGCAAAACGAAGCATATTGTCGGCGATTCTTCTTCTTCTTCTTCTTCGGAGGCCGTCCTGAAGAAGAACTTGGGATTCTTCTTCGGTTGGATCATGGTCTGCCGTTTCCGTCCGTTGAGGTTGTTGTTCCTCAGCAAGCTGGACGTGTCGCAAGATCGCAACTAAATGACAAAGTCTTCTTTTGCCCTCTTCATCTTCATAGTCGTGAGAGCAACCAACAACCACCGTAATGTTGATCGACATTAGGCTGTGGGATCGTAAGGCAGGCTTTGCCAGCGGCTTGGTGGTCTTTCCTCCCATTTGGATAGGGAATAACATTGGGCGGAACGTGTTGTGTATGGTTTAGCAGGGACATTTAGGTGCACACCCTGCATTCCGAGAAATTCTGCCGTTTGACTCCCAATATCCTCTAAAGGCTACGAAGGTCCACGAGGGTACCCGGATACCCGGTGGGTTGACGTCTCTCACTGCCTCACCTGGTGAGAAACGAGTCAGGTAATACCTGGTGTCAGCAAAGGTGGTCAGCTTTGTGGAGCCATCAGTGTGATAGAAGCCCAGTTGATCCACTTCGTTCTCCCAAGAGCAAAAACGACGATAACTGCATCTCCTCAACATCATCTCTGCCAAACCCCACTAGATCCGCAAAGAAAGCATCCATATAGATGGGCTTTCAAATGACTCGTTTTCAGACCATTTCATCAGTGTTGGTGGACCATGTCATGCCCTGCCCCCACGCAGCCCAGGCGGCCAAATCTGGATGGCCACGTCCACTTCCTGCGCCTCGGCCACGTCCTTCACGATTTGATCATAGCCTCGGTGCTCGGTGTATGGGGCTCGGCCGAGAATCTGGAGGAGCTGCATGGAGCAAGGACGCTACTAGGGGCTCCTGGCATCGCTACTAGTAACATGTGATGAGGGCTATTCTCCAGAAGAGAGACGAATTTGAATCTCACATCTTCGACACGTCATGTTAGCAGCACATGTCATGTTAGTACAAGCTAGTCCGCCCCAGAGCTAGTCATTGGGGTAGCTGTCCTTCTTTAGGTGTGCGATGGGTGAATCTTGGCGAGTCCCATGACTTTTCAGTTGGATCTGGTTTTGGACTTACGCATGAACCAATGAAGTATGCAACTCTGAGAGCTGTTGGCTGAAGTATCTATTATATATTATATATAGTTTTTTTTGTTTCCAATATATATATATATAAATACAATGGCCTCCAACCTGCTAGTGATGGCCTCCAACCTAGAAGCGATGGCCTCCAAGCTACTAGCGATGGCCTCCAACCTAATAGGTTGCCAAATAGTCATGAGTTTTCTGAGTAGAGCTCATTGCTCGAACCTGCGGCCTGGATAGATTGATGAAAGTCTGGTTTGCTGAAGGGTCCGATGATTCGGGTAAAGTGAAGCATTGTTCTTGGGGAAACATGTTCGTTCTCTCGTGATGTACTGTCAACTCAGGCAAATTTCCGAACTCTAGTGGATTTTTGGGAGTGAAAATGTGCGGGCTGAAAAAAACGGCCTGTGGGTGGTATAATCTTCTAAAACAACACACATGAGAGTGTGGAACACTGCTCTGATTTTCACACATTCTACTGCAGCGCTTGCTTGGAGATCTAATTACGCAGCTGGGAGGAGAGAAAAGAACGGCAAACAATCGCATCCAGTCCTCTCGATTCCTTGCATAGTCCTAAAGAAAAAAACATGTAAACTTTGGACCGCTCAAATCGCGGGGAGATTCCAAAAATGTTTGCCTGGCTTGTGTATCTGGTAGACTCTTGTCTACAGCTCCTGTCACCTGAGGTTGCGTTTCCAACCATTTTGTTAATTTTGTTGGACAAAACTAATTACAGCAACATGATTTGGGTCTCGCCAACGACATGTACGGCCATGTTTGTCTCAGCAAGCGAAAACTATATAATTCATATGTTTTTGTCATACCTGCAATTGTTCTGGGATGCAACGTCGTTTCAGTCTCCACATGTCTTGCCGGTGCAGATGTCCGTCACTTTTCCTCTGTACACCCACTTCGCCCACTTGATGTATTTATATACTGTAATGGACGCCAAAGACTATACCAAAGTGAGCCTCCAAAATTGAGCCGCCTGATTTGATACTGTATTATTGATCATTGACCACGTCTGTCCCTCTCATGTTCCAAGGGGCTCAATTGCAAGGTGTTGGCTAGGGCAAAGGAGGCGCAGTCCTGGCACCAAAAATAGGTGCAAAAGGCAGTCCGCAGAAAATGCGGATAAACTATGATAAAATTACTGATAACATCTGATAGCCATAACTCTAGCGCAAGTGGCCATCAACCAGCGTTGTGTGGGAGGATGAGTGCTCCATAGTGCTGCTAAGCCATTGCTTCTGTGTGAGAAGCCCAACAGAATCTAAAAACCCAGCATGGCAGCATGGCATGCCTTGAACTTGGAGCCCCCGCAAAGCACGACAACGCAGTGGGTCATGACGTAGCGAGTAGAAATGGCCTCCAACCTACTAGCGATGGCCTCCAACCTAATAGCGGAGGTCCGGCCATGATTCATGATGACAAAGTATGCAGAAAATGACAATGCCCTTGTGAGGAGGTGTCTGCAGTGGCAGTGATCGACTTATGCACAGACGGATCTAAGGATGCCACTGTACCTGTTCACCTCTCTCGCACCAGGAAATCGCCAGGCGCGGAACCATCGAACTTCACCCGACGCCAAACGCGTGGCGCTGCGTCCCGCTGCGTCCCGCTCGAGGCCGTCTTCTGCTTTCAGCAGCTCAGCCAACTTCTCCACCGCGCCGCCTTCCACAAGGCGTGCCTGGCAAGAAAGGGGCGATCAAAGGGAGACGGTTGTTGACTGTTCCAGTTACAAAACCCTTTCTTCACCAATAAAACTTCGGGTGGGCCGAAATTCGTCACGCCTTTTTTTATCCTAAATCGATTGCACATGATGACACGCCAGTTACACCCCGTTTGGTCGGACCTGCACTCCCTTCACCGGGGTGCCGACTGCGGTCGCCTCGCCTGCGTCTCGTCGTTCTCGGTGGCCAAATGGCCCAAGGCGACCGCGGCATGGATCCGCTCTTCGTATGTCTGAGCATTCCTGGGCGCGATGGGATAGAGTCGGTGAGCGAGAGCAAATCGTTTTCTGGATCGTATGATGTGGGTACCTGGATCGTATGATGTGGCTTGTTTGATAAATGATGGGGTCCAACATTCTATGATTAAACACATGCATTTGTTCTTGTTCATGTTCAAATAATCTTAAAGTGCTTGGTAGAGCAGAACATAAATAGCATTAAATAGCACTGGTTTTTCCGGCTTGGTTCCAGCATCCAAAGGAAGATCACATTGTTAAGTGCAACAGCAGCTCAATGAAGTAACATACACAGGATCCGATCAATGTGTATAGGTATAGGTATACATTGTTATACATTCCTGAATTTGAGGAGATGGTGCTGAAGGAGAATTGCATCATTCTCCAAGGAGAACTGCAAGTTTTCTCTTTATGAATTGATGTCAGGACGTCATCTATTTGTTGGCCACACCAGTCACACGGATGACGTCACATCCAGCATTTCTGTATATACTTGGAGGGTCCCACATGTCAACTCACACTTTGGGATGAATTGGAGAGACCATGATACGTAGGCATTCGTCTCCTTCTGGCATTTCTTGGGTCCCACCACACGAAGTCCTCCTGGGCCACCCAGCAGCATCCCCACCAGCAACCGGCCAGCGCCCTCCACGCTAAAGGCACGCTGGGTCTCCGGGTTGCCCTCTACCAAGCCTCGGCTGAGTGTCCTTCCCGGAATCAAAAAACAAGAGAGGAAAAGAAGTGCAGGCGGTGTCAAACAAGTTAGTAGACTCTTGAGCAAGAACCCCCCAAGAAGGGCTGTACAATCCAAATGGGAGAGTTTTACTAATCGAGAGTGCCATGAGTCATGGATGTTTTTTTTGTTTTTTCCAAAGAGATAAACATACATACAGCATAAATATGTCTGTGCAGTGTTACAGAAAACACACATCATCTACCCAAGGCTGTTTCCTTTGTATGCCAATCAACAACATGTCACATACAGACTTTATCTGCAAACTTCAATTCCCAACTGAAAGAGATTGTTGGCTACTGCTAATAGAGCGCAATAAAATGCATTTTGAAGCATATTCATTCATAAAAAGCCAAGCAAAAGCGGAAGATCAACAAACAATGGCAAAATAATGCTCTGGACAGCATCTGGAACAACGAAGACAACTTGACTGTTTGGCCTCTTCCAGTCTGCCAATGAGCACCTAGAGGTAGTAAAACCAGCAAACAAATGCAAACAATGCCTTTTTTACACAAGTTGCTCACTCTACCCTCAGTGGTCTCTTCACTGAAAGCACATAGCGAAATTGGTTTCTGGCTGCCATCCCCGGAACAATTCTATATTGTAAGTTTACACACACTTTGCCCTCCAAAATCGGTTCGCAGTGAATCCTTGAAGGGGGTGAGTATATGTATGTATATGTATATATGATCGCCAAAGGTGTTTTAGTTAAATGTGCTTCTCGCTTCTTCTAATGGGTTGTTGCTGGGGCATGCTGGCTCTGGCCATCGTGGTTTCAGAGTCGATGAGCAAAAATAAACAAATCTTAGGTATACATGAGCTGGTTAAGCCATCCATGGTTCTTTAACCATTTGCTCATGTCCTCCACTAAACCTGATGCTCTAGTTTTGTCTTCTAGAAAATCTGTTAAAGGCATTTCATTCCAAGTAGGTCTAATTTCATTATAAGTAGGCCTGTGAACACTTGCCGCTGATCCTGCAGCTAGTGGTTCATGTGTTTTTGTGGCACGCCATTTCTGACTGGAAGCAATGATGGAAAGAACATGCACCAGGTGTTGCAATTGTAAGAATCAATGAGTGGTCACTTAGAGCTCTCTGACATATATTCCTAAAGCATTGGGGATTTTTGTAAGTTGTTGCCATCCCTGCGGTTTTTGGAGCCCATGGCAAAGCCATGTGGGTCTGAGATGCGGAGAAGGCAACTTGGCACTTTCTTTGAACATGGAATACAAATTGTTCACTTATGTGCTCATGATGAGCGGTCATGTCTAAATTATCCCGATTGCAACTTAGGTATTTGCAATCACTGGCTCGGTCTAGAGCTCTACCTGGTGAACCTTCTGTAGAACAACGAAGCATTGTTGTCAGGAAGGAAAAGGCAGAGGGGAAAACTGCCTCAGAATGCTCACAGGCAGACTCTAGCATTCCTCATTTTAATTGGGAAAAAATCAAAGAGTATGAAAACATGAAACTTGCAGCTGATGCCGATCTAGAAGGTTCTAAGGGCAAATTAGAACAGCCGCGGAAGCGTCCCAACTACAACAACACACTTCGAAGATTGAATCGCAAGTTGGTTCTTCGTCTTTCGTAGCTTGTCGTCAATGAGTGATTGAAAGAAAAATCATTTTGGCATGACAATCAGTGTTCAAGCAGGTCAAATTAACATGTCAGGTACAAGGCAAATGGTCGTTCCCAAGCTCGAGTGGAACGACTATTCAAAACGCCTCTTTGCAAGTGCTCTCGAGGAACATGCTTCAGTCAGTTTGCAGGGCTCAAGGACAAGGAGGAGCTGCTCAAATTTCTTCAGTGTTTTTGGAGCTTTTCCAAAACCCAGCAAGATGCTTTAGACGGAACCTCAGTTGGTCTGAAAAAAAGTCGTGTAAATAGGAACAATGGTGGGTGTGTCATGGAGAATAGTTTTGAACCTACTAAGTTACACAATGTGGTTGGACATCAGCGAGATGGGTCTTCATCATCATGGAAACTTCTTCGCAAGATTTGCAGCAAAATTTGTGTTGCTGCTTTGCTAGGGGTTGGCAAAGCACGTTTGAGACTGGCCAAGAGCGGATTCCTGGACAGAAGATATGCAAAGTTTGGTGGAGTCCCTTGCTTAAACCCTTTTTTGCATGATGCTTCAAGTTCATTCAACTTTCTTCAAAAACAACTCAACATGTTTGTGTGACTTTGTAGTCTTCCCAGGTTGGAAATCGAATTCCTGTAGCCTACCAGAAGGTGGATCGCTTTCTCTTGCAAAAGTACTTGGATGCTGCAGGAATGTTGCCAACAGAGTTTCCTGATTGCGATTGCAATACATCAAATGCACACTTTCTGCTCCAGATATTTGCTTCAAATTGATTTACCCCAAAGGTTTAAACGCGCTGCACGTGTCCGAAGCAGTGGACCCTTGTCCATTCAGATCTACACTGAAGGCCAAAAACGTTTCACGAGCACAGACAGTACCTTAGCCGCCCTACTTGGAACACATGGAACCAGCTGTTGACTCATTAAACATTTCCACCTATGTCCAACTAATTAACTAAACCAAATTGATCCATGATCAGGTGACTCCGATCAATCACCAGTGGGAGGCGACGATTCGTTGGCGGTGCCCGGGGAACGGATTGAAGATGATGAAGAACTCAAGCTATTCTGCATGGGTGACAAAGAAATTTTCACGAAGTGGTTTAGATGCATTTTGTTGGATCCTCGAAGAATGGTTTGACTACTCTACTGCTGCCACAAGTGCCTAAGGTATGCAGAGAATGTTGACCACCTGCCAAGACGTTGGTTGGCACCAGGTTCTGTCAAAATGCTTTGGGGCGAATTTGAGAAAGAGTGCTCGTATCTTGGGTCATGAATTGAGGCCTTGATTGAAGTGCATGCTGGTGTCTCTCCTACTCCTACACATTTAGCAGCAGCATAGCAATCAGGTATGAACACTTCTGGAGAAGATGGTCTACAAAATGGTCAAAGGTCTTGGGCTTCTTACCACCATCCTCGCATGGCAAGTGCAACAGGTGTGTGCAGCACAAGAAAGATTATGAGAGCGCTCGAGCGCCTTAGCTCATTTATGATGATGTTTATGGGAGTTGGCAAAAACCACTTTGTACTTTGTGCATGGTAGTATCCAGCATCACTTCAGGGTCCACAAGAGAAGTACGAGATCCTTTCACGATATCGCAGCCACCTGGACATTGTGCGCAAAGACAGACGGCTGGAGGAAAAGCTCCAGGCTCCAGTAGATTTGATTTCAATAATTTGCGAACAAAGCTCAAACATTTGCTCAGACATATTATTAAGATGTTGTCGTCCTGGTGCAGAACGATGCATTCCCTCGTCCGCTTGGTGGTAAACCAGCCACATTGTTTCTACATTGGGTGTCTTGTTTGCATTTATCTTTCAGTTTGCAACCAACTGAGAGCATGCTAAGAACACAGTCCATGGTTTATTTGTTACCCGTCATGGAAATCCACAACAGCTCGTGCTTTGGTGCAGGATGGTATGGACCAAAGCAAGTGGAGCATACCTCGAGAGCGCACTGACAGGCTCAGCAAGACGTTTCAGACCTTTGACCGGCCTCGCGCCAAGTGTCACGCCATCTGGGCGCATTTTGAAGAGATAGCTTTCTTCATAGCTGATCCACGCGTTTCTGCAGACTCCAGCTTTGTAATTGAATGTTCTTGCAGAGCACTTGAACGGATCATGCAAAGATGCAGGGCAGCCAATCGAGAACCCCCGAAGGAGTTGATCATATGGAGTGACAACTGTGTGCGGGAGTCAAAGAATTCCCCGCTGATGCTGTATTTGTGTGTGCTTGTCTTAAAGAACAAGTTTCGCTTCACATCGATACAAATGTCCCAGGTGGGACATACCCACAACACCTTGGATAGGGTTTTTGGCCAGTTGACTATAGCCTTTCGCTACATGTCTACGTTGACTGATATCGATGACATTTGCACGAGCCTTTGATGAATATCACAGGTCCATTCAAACATTTTTGTGGTGCCATTCATGTTGTACGTGTTTGTTTTCGTGCAGAAGATAATAACTGGACATTGTCTTTCTAGAAGAGTTGAGGAAGATCAAAGATTGCTTGGAGAAGCTGCAGTTCAAGGAACCCGTGCATTGTGAGTATGTCAACAGCGTCCGGGACTGGAAAACATGGTTGCGTCCCAAGTTCTGAAATTATGTTACAACATAGCTCTTGAACCAATGCCACAAACCTATGACTCACCTGCTCAATCTCAGAGCGGCTCAGGGTGGAGGGGCTTGGTTGCGAGTTCAGCGGCGGCCTTCGAGACAACACAGACTCTGCCGTGCACTCGTTCATGTTTATGAGACGCATAGGCAAGGTCCTGATTTAAGAGATTTAGAGATTCAGGGGTGGACTCGATGTCAAAGGAAGTTTCCAAGCAAAGTAACTGAGCAGTAAAAGATGTGCCACTTGCAATGGAATTGCATCGCAGATCTTCCATCAAACCTTCGTGTGGTATCCTCTGGTCCTGGAGCTCGCCATGTGGCGGAAGACCCTCGGGATGTTGTGGTCTTAGTGAAGCATCATGCCTCAGATGCAAATTTAGCGCAAGAGATTCAACTTGCTGTTCCTTTTTGTCGCCTGGAAAGAATCTCTCCGTTGCCTACGACGGTGAGAATGTACAAGAGCATCACCGTAGATCGCAAGAAGAATTGGCTTGAGCTTGTGCATTTTGTTCTTCAACAACGCAGGTCCAACCTTCAGGTGGGACGAACTGCAAGGTTTCTGCTCGATCTAATCAATTTCCCAGATCGGCCAGATCACATGGTGCCCCTTCCATGGCTCGAAGCAAATGAAGCTGGAGCAGGTCCACCAAGTCTTCCCGACGCACTTGACCGGCTTGCGCCGGTCATCAAATTCAAAGCTGTTGTTCGTAGGTGATAGATCCCAATTCAGGTTTGTTGCACGTGTCCTTGATTGGGACGTT